TATTTGCCTTGCCGCCGCCGGCCGTAATGATGGCAACGGCGATGACCTCCAACCACGTGGTACCACTTTTTGGTTGGCCGTGGGTTTCCACGACGGTTCCTTCAGTTTTGTTCGTCTGAACGCGAGTGTCGTTGTTCGTTGCGGTGCCGAGGGCGAGCACGGCGATGGAGAGGACACGGAGTCTCATAATGTGTATATATATATATACCGGAGTATAGTTCATGTGGGGCGGGCGGGCCAGTGGCGAGGAGAAAAAATAAAAAAAATAAAAAAAAAAGAGGCGCCGAAGGCGCCGAAGGCGCCGGAGCGGGATCATCCCATGGCTGGACAAGGCCGATATCGCCGTCGTGACGATGCCGCTCGGCCTCACGTTCGGCGGCGACGGGAAGAAGGCGACGACGCTCGCGAAGAAGGCCCGCGAGGCGCTCGCGCTCGTCGGCTTGACCGTGGCCGACGTGCTCTTCTACGCGCGCGACGGCGGCGAGGCGGCGGTGGGAAACGTGCTGCGCGAGATGGGGAAGGAGGAGCTGGAAAAGAAGGCGGAAGAGTGGCGATGCGCGACAAGTACGCCCGCTGAATGTCGTTCTGGCCCCTCATGTCGCTCGGCGGGTTCGACTAGAGGCTAGCTCGGCCCCATCGAGGCCGTTTCGCCGTACCCTAAACGTTTTTTTATGGGGCGGCGCCCCATTTGCGAATCAAAAAGGGTACGGGACCCCTGGCCAAGTCTCTATTTTCTAGGATTTTTTGAACACGGCACCTATTCTATGCCGGGCGACGGACAAAAGAATCGACGCGTTTAACAAAAGATTCGACGCGTTTAACAAAAGATCTGCACGGCACCATCAATGTCCAATGCTCGTCCGGAGCGCACACTATCAGCAGGAGCGCGGAGGCAGCGTCTCGTGAGCGTCTGAGCGCGGAAACGGTGTTTTGCATCGACGTCCTTGCATGTGACGCCCTTCCAGCGCTTCCAGTGCGTCGGCACGCTGTCGCATACCTTCCGCCCCCCACTGCAACTCCGGGGCTGCCCCGCATTGGCGCACGCGACGGCGGCGTTTCTGTCGTCGTGGGCTGCCTCGCCGCCGCCATGGGTGCCACAGCCGACGACAGAGACAACGTCGTCGTGTGCCTGCTACCGCCGTCGATGCGGTTTGGAGCGCTGCGTCGCCGCGCTGCCGCGACGCGCGGCCCGGCCCGGCGCCGGCGCGAGTGCGCAGCCCGCGGCCGGTTCCTGGCGACCCGGGGCCGTGCGGCGCTCGCCGCGCTCGCGGCCGCCGCGGGCCGCGCGCGGCGCCGGCCCGCGGTCGGCGCCGCTCGCTTCGCGCGGCGGGCCTGCGGCGCGGCGCTCGCGGCCTGGGCGGTCCGCGCGCGGCGGTCCGCGGCCTTGGGCCGCTTCCTCGCGGCGGGCGCGGGGCCCGCAGCGCTCCGC